GACCCCCTGTCGCCGCTCAAGGTCACCCCACCACGCCAGGGCACACGTGGCATTTTCATGCACACTTGTTCGCGATAGATGGCTCATCCTGGTACAAATCATTGTTTAAAAAACATTATTGCGCCCAGCAACGGCTCCAATTCCCAACGCTTTTGGCGTGTTTCCCGGGTAGAATCAATTTTACACGAAGTTGTGTAGTAAAAATGACATTCCGACTTCTGGCCTTGCGCGGCCTCTAGTAGTCGTTCCATCAAGACATTTGGCGGCCATTTCAAATGTCAGGCTCCCCTATGTCATTGCTAGCTCTGGCTGAGTGTATCTGGTCTCTCACCAATTTGCCGAGACCGGGTCCTGATTCGCTCCAAAATTGATGCATGTGTACCACGCACCCAGCATGTCAACATACCAATAGTTGGCCAACATGGCTGAGGCAGAGCTAGGTGGGACCTCTGATGTTTACCTCTCCCTATGATTTAATCGTGGCGATTCCCCTCTCTCCTCTCCTCTCTTTCTCCCTCTCTCATATACTCTTTTACTCTCTCGCTCTCACTGCCTCTCTCCCTTTCCCCTTCTCACTCTCTTTCTCTCACTCGCGCATTCTCCCTGCTCCCCTCCCCCCCCCACCCCCCACCCCCTTCCGCGTGCGCGCTCTCTGTCTCTCGCTCTCACTCTTTCTCATTCTCTCTCTCTCACTCTCTCTCTCTCTCTCTCTCTCTCTTTCTCTCTCTCTCTCACACACACTCTCTCTCTCTCATGCATACATACGGCACACAGATAGCGTCGCCGAAGCGGGAGCGGAGCGACGGCAAGGGCGCCTTCAAGGGCGTCACGGCTGGCTTGGAAAAGGTGGAATACCAGAGAGAGAGAGAGAGAGAGAGAGAGCGAGAGAGCGAAAGAGAGAGTGTGTGTGTGTATGTGTGTGTGTGAGAGAGAGAGGGAATAGTTTATTGAAACCAGTCTATGACTCGGGAGTGCGGCAAGGTGCGTTCAAGAGGGTAACGGCTGGCTTGGAAAAGGTGCAAAGAGCAAGCCCCCCCTCCGACCCCTCGCATCGCCACGTTCCTCGATACGGGAACGGAAATGGTTTATCGAAACCAACGTGGCCACAACCCCTAGGCCCCACCGGCGAGAAGGTGGAACAGCCGCTCTCAGCCTATTTGGTCCCACCAATTTGGTGAGACTCGGCTCTTTTTTGGGTGCAACGTTGAAGGATGCGTACCAGCAACCCAGGATGTCAACTTGAGAATACAGGGGTTCCTCGCTCATAAGAAAGCGCCACCCCGTAGGACCCTACAGTAGGCCTTGACCTAGGGCCCTATGGTGGTCCTAGGGGGGGGGTATTTCTTATGAGCGAGGTACCCTTGTAGTCGGTGAAGCCGAGTGAGGCAGAGCGAGGGTGTCACGGCGAGCTTGGACAAGGTGCCACCACCAAGCCCTCCCTGCATTTAGCAGGCACCGGGGGCTTCACGGATACAATCCATCTAAACGATTTGTACCAGCATCGTATCAGTCGCCTTGGATTCTAACCGCTTTCCCGCCGGATGTCCTGGGGGGGGGGACTTGGCGCCTGACAAGTAGTCCCTATTATCGCCGCGTTCCTCGATAATGGAACGAGAATGGTTTGTTGGGAGCCTTCAAGGGTGTCACGGCTGGCTTGGAAAAGGTGGAACAGCAAAGGGGCAGAATGGTTTATTGAAACCGGTCTAGACTCGGAGTGTAGGGGAAGGCGCGTGTGTGTGTGTGTGTGTGTGTGTGTGTGTGTGTGTGTGTGTGTGTGTGTGTGGTTTGTATACTCTGTACAGTAGTGCAACTCACGCGGCTCGTCGTGGTTCATGATTCAAGCAAAATACTCAATAATCGAAAGGTCTACAACAATGTTCAATGTTTCAAGTCTACAGTCGGGCTTCTGTGTTCCTCCGGCACCCCGGTTTTCCCCGAATCCTTCTGTGGGGAAGACACCGCAGTGCACCGACGTATTCATGGTTACAAACCTTCAACGGAAAACAGTGTCGGATAGTCGCGGGCGCCATAGAAACTTTGGCGGCTCCGAATCTATCTCAGAGAATGCATTAATGAATGCCTTTTATGCAAACGCAAATTGCTACTCAATTGAATCATACCAGTAGCTAATGCATTTCCTGCCATCGCAACTTACTGCGCGATTGAATCATACTAGTCATAGTGAATCATGCGTGCAGTAATGTTTGTTTGCATGAAAGGCATTAATATCCGAGATAAGAATGCGACTATACCTGTGGTTCAAGACCGCTGTGGGTCCTGAGATACCTAGCTCTGCCTCGCTCGGGCTTTCTATCTATTCTTAAGTTGACGGCACGTGCCGTGCCACGCGTACCGGTTCCCGACTCAAACTTGACTTTCGATTCTCAAGTTGACTTTGCGCTGACTCCAAGTTGACTGTGGGCCTTGCAGGAAAGCTACGGGTGGTACAAGAACCAGGAGTTGAAAAAGTCGATGTTTGGCCGCACCCTCAACGTGAACTCCCAACCCTAAACCCTAAACCCTAAACCCTGAACCCTGAACCCTAAACCCTAAACCCTAAAACCTAAACCCTAAACCCTACACCCTAAACCCTGAACCACAAACTACACACCACACACCCTAATCCCCAAACCCTAAACGCTAAATGCTAAACCCTAACCCCTCAACCCTCAACTCTTAACCCTAAACCCACCCCTTTCGTGGAGGCTGCGTGGCTACTGCGGGGGTAACGCCCACTCGCCCTTGGAGGTGGCTCAAATAGTGGTCTGGAACATTTTCGATTGACCTGGCATCAGGGTCGGATCCGACCCCGATGTGTCAAAAGTTGACACATTTTCGGTACAAAATCAACTTTTAAAAAATAGTTCCAGAGCACAATTTGAGCTACATCCCAGGGCTGTTGGTCAGGATGGCGCCGCAGTTTCAAAATGTTTCGTACCTGAGCGTTTTACCTTTGTACCACGACCCCAAGTTCTTCTTCTTCTTCTTTATTATTCTCGATACAGGTACTAAATGAGGCCCGTGAGCCTGGAGTTGAGTGATGCAAAAGTCTATGAGCCTCAAGGAACGGGCCCGCCTCGGAAATGTGAGCTATGGACCCCAGATTACCATCGACCTTGGTGGCGAGGTTGGGCGGCGGTTCGAATACTGGAATACGCCCGCTCCCACGCCAGAGGGCTGAAAACATCCACTTTTGACATCTTTCAGCTGAAACCCGGAGGATTCTCAAGGTACTTGAGCCAGATCTGGCTAAGATTAGACAGTTACTTCCCTCGCGCCCTCTGGCGTGGTCTTTGTCAGTCCACCAGACACACCATCGGTGTCATTTGGTGCTGCGGGTTGGGGCAGGGAAGGTATGTGGTTGGGGCTGGGAAGGTTTTTGTGAGTAGGACGGATTTGACGGGGATTGTGGATTGGGACAGTTTCCGCAGCTCCGTGTTTGCATCAGTAACGATCGCGCCCATGCGCAGCCTAGCTCTGAATGATTTTCAATTCTGGCTCGTCCTAACGGTTTTCTTTTCGCCCGTGTGTACTGATTTCTGCTGTTAAATGCTTTAAAGGACGAGCCAGAATAGAAATCAGGCAGCGCTAGGCAGCCGCTGTTGGCATCAATAATGGTTTGTCCCTAAACCTAAGCCCTCTCATGCACAGCAAGTACGTCCACTTGAGAATGCTTGAGGATGTATTTACATGTGGGATTGTGAATATTTGTACCAGGATGACTTGACCAACCTCACGAAAGTAACTACACAAATGACCACTTGTAAAATCAAACGGTTTGAAATAGGGGCCTCAAGCATTCTCGTGAGGGTACAGGCGACAGGTTTGGAGTTTTATGTAGACCCGCTGAGTGTACTTCTTTTTCCATAAAGCAACTTTGTCCCATGGTTTTGACCTGAACATAAACTCTCACGTGCGCAGACGGTGTCTGGCAAGTCGGAGAAGGGTGGACGTCGCCAAAAGACTCCGTCTCGCACACCCTCTCACACCCTCTCGCACACCCTCTCACACCCTCTCGCACACCCTTGAGGGTGTGATGCGGTTTCGGTGTCTGACAAGTTGGAAAAGGGTGGACGTCCTAATCCCGGCGTCAACTTGATTTCGGCATTCTGTAGGGTGCTACGGTATGCAATACGGTAGGGTGAAATCGAATGCCGTATTTAGGTTGGACGCCGGAATTAGGTCTTCCACCCTAAACTTTAATTCTCGCGTGCGCAGCCGCTGTCTGAAAATTTGATTTTGTAGGAAGGGATTGGTCCAAATTGACGCATCTTCGAAAATTGACGCAATTTTTACCACACAAAACAAAACGTTTGAATTCCACCCAGGTACAAAAATAACAATCTCACTTTTAAGATATGTACCGAGATTCTTTTTATATCTTAAAAGTGCTTTCGGTCAGCAAATGGGGCAAAATCAGTCTTTACAACACATTCCCCGTTTAGGACACATCTCACACGCGATTTTGCCTGGGATTGTGTGGTAAAGA